TCACCATTAGAAAGAAGGTGACATGTTTATGGACCCAGAACTAGCTAAGACAGCTAAGACTCTGTGTACATGCGAATCACTTCAAGAATCTTCTTGATGAAAGAAGCTTGTGTGGTTTGTTAAAAGACTTCGATCCGCTCACAGCCATGCAGATTAAGACTAATTTAGATCGACATTATTTTGATAACAATGAAAACTCAAATGGTTTGATTTTTAGCTAAGTTACCATAATTATTATAATTAATTAAATACAGGCTGACAATGTTTCATTTCACAAAATGTATCTGAATAATGTAATTTTAACTGAATCTTAAGCTGTTCAAAAAGCTTTGTTAGATGATGTTATCGATGCTGTATAAGTTGAAACCTTTTGATGATGAGAGGTACATGAACAAACCTACACTAAACAATACTACATTCCAGCTTGAAACGAAATGAGTGGAGTTGAACGACGCCTGTTTATCGAAACTACATCAATCAACTTTTCAACTATGCAGGTTATTAATGAAATGAAATGAAATACTACTACTTTGTCGGAACTAAGTCCGATCTACGCCAGATAACCCCCTCCATATATCCCTGTCCCGCATCAGAGTTCACAGTTCCTCTTTTGAGTTTGTCCCAATTTCCTTCAGTAACATAGACAAGTAGCTTTGTCTTGGTCGGCCTTGCTGTGCTCTACAATGCATAGGTTTCCATAAGACTAAATCACTGGCAAGTAGCTCAGGATGTCTGATGCAGTGTCCCGCCATTTTTAGTCTCCTGCTTCGTAACTTGTTTGACAGCCTTGGTAGACTACCATACAAAGTTATATTGCTGACCTTGTCCTTCCATGAGATACCCAGCACCATACGTAGCATCTTTGTGTATGTCCCGTCCAATACAAATGAAATAAATTATTTTTATCACGCTTATATCAACAATCAAAATTAAAAACTTATGGACGTATATCACTCATTATTATGTATCACTCTCTAACATCTTGTCCTCACTACAAATATTACCACTTCTGATATAATAAAGTTTTTTTGTGTCTTCTTTGGCTCTGGCATGGCTCCAGCTCAAAATCTTTGGGTGGGTGCAGCTTGGCGCACGGTGGGGGGGGGGGGGGGGTGAAGCCCCCTGGAAAATTTTGGAATTTTACTCTCCTAAACATATTTTAATATCTCCAAAACAGTCTCAATTGATTACAGAAGTCAATTGACCCTTAGTTTTAAATACAAAATTTGACAATTTTTGTGTGAACATTTTCAAATCGTTTGGGTGGGTGCAACACCCTTTGGGTGGGTGCGCACCCACCCGAACCTACACGGTGGAGCCATGCCTGCTTTGGCTATCTGTTTTATTTCCAAGACCAACTGCTGATGGATAACTCGATCTTCAGGTGATCGATCTGGAGAGATGAAAACAGTCTTATGATCTTCACACAGTCTCAGCTTTTTGGCATTTACTAATATCTGATGAACGGTAAGTTAGAATTATCTAGCGAAACTTTGACTGGTCTAGTCTTGTTGGCTGATTTTCTCCCAACCCAGATAGCTTCAAAACGTGGTTTTTCTTCAATCTGCTGAAAAATCACGGTAACTTTATTGCACAGTTCCTCTTCATCAGTCTCCTTCAAACCAAAGATGAGCACATTCCTACTGCGATCCTCTTCCGATACACCATCCTGTACAACCTTTTTTAAATTCTCTTCTGCAAGCACAGGTGCATTTTTAGTCACAGCTTGACTGTATGACTTCATCTCAGCTTGGACAGTGTCTTGAACGGCGGTCTTGACGGTGGAGTGCATGGATTCCAACTGCTTCGATTTAGTTTACATTTAAAAACATCAGGAGGTGACCGGGATTCCCGGTACCGGGATTGGCAATTTTGAGCTATCCCGGTCCCGGTCCCGGTCAAATGCTGATTTATTTATTTATGATCCCGGTCCCAGTCCCGGTCCCGGTTAATTCGGGATTCTTGGTCCCGGTCCCGGTCCTGGTCTCGGTCAATCACTCAAATTTGCCGGGATTTTGACCGGGATCTTTTACATAATTTCATTCACTGTGATTTTAAGTTTTTCCTTTCATTCATTGTGAATTTCATCTTTAAACATCCTCTGAGCCAAATACAACAATGTTTAAAATTGCTTAACAAGTTTGAGTAATAAATTATGATCATGAATTAACCAGTAATCGACCGGAATTCCCGGTACCGGGAATCCCGGTACCGGGATTGGCAATTTTGAGCTATCCCGGTCCCGGTCCCGGTCAAGTCACATTTTTCATCCCGGTCCCGGTCCCGGTAAATTGATAATCTCAATTTTGAGCTATCCCAGTCCCGGTCCCGGTCCCGGTCCCGGTCAAGTCACATTTTGTATCCCGGTCCCGGTCAGGCCTGAAATCATGTCCCGGTCACCTCCTGAAAAACATTATTATTCAAAGGTAAATAGACAGCGATCAGTAGTAATTTTTAATCCATTTCTATCGGATTTGCAAACTTTTAAAATGATATAACACTTGTACAATCTCAAACTTATGTGATATGATACTGTTGATATAAATGTGGGAAGTAATAATATATTTGCAGGTGTACAGTGCTGTTTCTGAAATTGACGAATCCTCTTGTGATGAAGATTGAAGAAGCTATTGCCATCCAAGTGGAAAAAGTCCCGCCTCTGTCACCCTCCTCGAATAGAACTAAGAAAATGTGGAGACTTTCTTCATTTAGTTCCAAATCAAGTGGACCAGATGTTGATTTGTTTGAAATGGACTGAGACTTGTGTTTCATATGCCAGGTTGAACAGGTTTGTGTGAAACTTTTGCTCGCAAATATAATTATTATACATATTATCTCGATTTAATTTTAAGAGTATGAGAGGTTATTCTTCTTTAACAATACGAATTTCCCTAGACGTTAGAAACGAAAAAGGATAGTCTGATTCAAGGAAAAGATAATAGTTTCTTCGTCGATTTCGCAACATACTATCTGTGGACATCTACATAAATCGTCAGGATCTGTGCAACATCGATGTTAATCCTGATTCGCACATGAACAAGTGCCCTGTTCTTAACCCTGAGAGTCTCGGAAAATATCTCTATAGCAAGCTAGGTAGATATCACAAAACATGTCGTTTGAGGTACAGCAACTCGAGGGTGAAACAATTGAAGGGTAAATTATCTGAAGCTGTAAGTTTAAAACCTGTCTCTAAGGCAGGTTTTAAAATGGAAAGACACGTGTCCACGCACGACAACACCAATGCTGCATTAATGAGTGCAGGTATTGACACGAACCTTTTAACTGGAGCAGGAGAATGTTTTACCAGAACTGTACCTCGTGTCTGACCTGAAGCTTAAGTACAATGACTATGTGACGTCTAATTTATCTGAGAACGCTGCAAACTCCAGCAATGTTTAATCTGATCACATCAGTTTTCAGAAAGACAATGTCGGTAAGACGAGTTTGTTTCGACAGCAGGATCGTATCTAATTTAGCCGCAACAATAGATGCGGATAGAGATGATAACACTTTGACAAAGACAGCACTCTTAAAGGAGATTAGAAAAGAAATCTTTCAATGTAGAAACGAATTCTATCAGAAGATTTATCTTCAAAAACATGTTCGATTTACTGATCGGACTGTAGAAATATAGTGTTTATGTGGATTGATCTGTTAAAGCAGGGCTATTGTATCATTTTAACATTAACTTTGCATAGTGATGATACGTTTATTGTGTCTCTTGTGATTATCTATTTCTACAGTGTTACGGTACCAACTACCACGAGGTTTCTGGCGCAGTGACGCGCTTTCGAGCAAATATCGTGCTAGATACGTCACGCGCCGCAACCGAATCAGATTTAAGTACACTTTTTCCATTGTAAACACTACATACGACGCGCAACACGTTCTACGAGGTCGAAATTTTCGAGGTCCCTAACACCGGAATGGAGCAATATTTAGACGATCTGACACTTTCTAGGGCTTAAGCAACCTAAAAGAAATTAGGGGAACTACTCAGAAAAAATTTTTAGTCGATATTCCGGTGTCTGTAGATGTCCGAAGTTTTGGCAGTAAAGTGCTCACAACACAGCTTCTGAAGGCTCTAGAAGGTTCCCGATACCGTCAGAGTGTTCAGTACACTCCATTCTATCATATAAGAACCCTAAAAGAATTCCCAGGGCTCGAGCAAAGAAGCGTGATATTTGCCCGTAAGAGCCTCTACTAGTTATCCGACTGGCATTAATTAAAAACTATTATCTGTTATTGTGTAACGTTAATTGCAATATATAATACAGCAAGGCTGATTACTGCTGACACATTATAAGGCAACTAAGAGCAGAAATATGGATGATAGACTAACGCGAGTGGCAAGGCAACATTAAACAGGGCGCAATTAATGCGTGAACAGTGAACGCACGAGGTGTTAAGCTTTAAGTGCTCCTTCATCAATTATGTTCACTCTTAGACGGATTTGACACGCGAAATTGCGCGGCAAATATGCGCGGCGTGTAAAACTTTTGTAAACCTTTCGGACAAGGGTTAAATTATTTTTCTACTGTCAACACAGCCCAAGTTTTACCTGAGGACCCCAGGCTATTATGTTCATTAACATAGCCTGGTGAGACTGAACCCTCTAATACGCGCAAGTCTCTCTAAACGGGCGCGTTTTTGCGCGTGGAATGCTGAGCGCGCAAAATATATGTTTTGTAATGTAATAATCTCATATCTGAAGACCGTTCATACGTTTTTGAAGAAGTACGTGACAGTGGCAACAAGAGAAATGTAAGTTCTAGGTGCAGTAGCGTGATACTTCATGAAGGTTCTCCTCATGTCCTTTGGTCAATTGCAATTCCGAACTTTGACGGATCAAAGGTTTCATGATTATATAACTATTATTAATTAATGAATATGATCACATAACAACTCGCCTAGCATTCCACACAAAAACGCGACCGATGTAATTCCACCATATATTATATATGGTATATCAATTGTGTTAAAAGCCAGAGGTCTACAGGTTGAGGTAAATATAATAAAGTGATTGACATTTCACAAAATGTTAACTTTAATAATCTAATAATTTGATTACATACATCAAAGAGAACAGTACATGATGGACTCATTCGTAAACAGTAAACTATTGACATGACAAATAGATTGACGGGAGTGCTATGGCCAGTACCAAATACACAATTCACTTATAAATATAATGATTCCTAGCTTTAAATTTACCCGGGGACCCCGGGCTTTGTGTTCTTAAACACAGTTGTCATATTAATACTTTAATATGAGACTTGAGTTTTAGTAAATATATTCAATTGATACGTTTATGAGAATTTAAAACGGGGTCCCCAGGTAATAAGACTCAATCGAATAGATATTTAAAAGATTTCGAAACCCAGTATTATCATACCTCTTACTGGGCGGCGCTTAGTCTGTCATTCCGCCGAATCTCTATTCGGCGGAACATTATAGCCTGGGGTCCCCAGGTAACATACCTCATGCAGGTCATGCATTTTCGTATAATAAAGAATGAAATTTACCGCGGACCACCGTACTGAGTTTCTACTGAACAAGGTCTACACTAAACAGTAAACAATAAACATGCGATCAAGATGTTTAATCACTCAACACTCGACCAACACGTAGGATACTTTAACACGTACTTCAAGTGACTATTTAAAATCCAACCCCAAACTAGAGTGTAGGACTAAAGCGTATGTTGAAAACCCGTACGAGAAACTAGACCAACATCCTTATTATATATTTGTCATAACCCCTGGTCATAAAACCAAAACATATCAGAATAATTTTTCATCAATTAGGCTTATTTGACGTTCATAAAGCTCAATAACATTAACAACCGAACACAAGTTTTCAAGTTCCAACTTGAATTGCTTCAAGAGTTTGTTGGCCTATTCTTGCTGCAAGGAGAGTTCTTCGCTCTAAAGGTATGTCTTGAGGACTGTCGTGATGATGGCTAATACTCTGTCCACACTCTTGTACTTCTGAAGACTCTGTAAGTGTAACAAACGGGTGTCGGCGGAGGCTGCAGATTCAAGGAAAGGAGCGTTGAACCAAGCTCTTAAGTAAACGAAGACAACAACGTGAGCCATCTTCTGCACGTCTCTCTTCTTCGTCCAGTGAAGTGGTATCTAGTGAAGTAGAATCATTTTCATAATGTATATGGACTTAGCCATCCATCTGACATGGTGGTCAGCTCCAGGTCTTTGTATCTGGAAGACGCATCCTTTCTTCATCTCTATGCTTTCTCCATGGATAAGTTTAGCTCTAGTAATTCCTTTTATTCTCCTGGGCTGGTTGTTGAGTTGACGGATTTGAGTAATGAAGGATAGAAGATCTTCCGTTCCTGTTGCAAGTAGGGATATCAGGAAGGACAATGTTCTGCAGATTGAGATCTTCCCAGGAGGTCTTCATGATCTTAAAAAGGGTTACTTCAAGTGATGTTGTGTCACCGAACAGTTGCTTAGAGGCAGATCCTCTTACAAGATCCGCCTCAAGGACGTGATGTCTGCAAGCCATCAAGAGGATCTGTCGATTGAGGAGCGGCTGAAAAGTAGGACATGCTCCTTTGTGGACTCCAGTATTTTATGATGTCGTATCAAATTCATCGGCTATTATTTTATCTGCTAGGCTTCGGTCGTCGAATCTTCTTCACTTTCTCTGCCTCTTGCTAGTTCCTGTAGAGTCACTTGTCTTACAGATTGCAAGTATGTTTACTTTCCTAAATCATCCGAGGTCTGCTAGAAGTTTTCTGTCGAAATTTATCTGTTTGACATTGGAGGAAAAGTCTCCTTTGATCTTTGCTGCTTGCTCTGATCGGACTGAGGCTCTGTGACAACGTGCAGTGGACTTTAAGAGGGATTAACAGCTTCATATCCCCGTGTCTCCACCGAGCAGTGAGATGCAGTGTCTCCTCAAACCGTCACTGAGGGAAAGAAAATAAGATTCTACGTGTGAAAATGAGAGAAAATGTCCAACTTCTATCATGAAATACCGGCTGCCAGACTTTGGGGCCGGAGTGATATGATCCACCATATACGTCATCAAGTAATTAACATGCAAGCTTGAAGCTTGTGGCGTATAATTAGTGATGTGATCCATGGATTGAACCCCCCCCCCCCCCCCCCTTTAGCAAGAGCTCCCGTCCTTTATGTGATCTACGAGTCGAGAAGTCAGATCATGTTGACTTCTTAATGTACAGCTATGATTTATAGAATTGACATGTGAACTCTACCCCAGATCTAGCCCATTTCTATGTCAATTAAATTCAATCCATGGATCACATCACTAATTATACGTCACTAATTGGTGACGTGATCTGACCCCTCTTTGGGGGCCGGATCAGTTTCCGGTCCCAAAGTCTCCCGTGGAAATACCAAGGAGACGACAGTAAATTATTAACAAAGCTGATTTATTTTTAATTAAAGATGACCATGCAAAAAGGCTTTTAATTTTAACAACCAGGATTTAAGCCAGGCAGGATAGCTTTTAATAGTGAATACCTGATTTCGAGAGATACAACTGCAGCCAAGACCGATATCAAGACGAAGGAACTCCGCAAATTTCTGGCCAAAAATATATCGTCTTTGTTTATTGCAGATCCCCTCCTGAAAGAATAAGTGTTCGTTTAGAATCTATATAAAAACCCATTCATTTGGGCTAATAGCATCGATCGGAACTTTAATAACTGTAATGATATCCCAGTTATTTTTTACTGATCTTCTTTGTAGACTTATCAGAACTTGGGGATAGGGCAAATGAGATTAATAATTCATTGTTTGTGACAGAATAAGCCTATATAATATTTATACTCAGAACTTCTCTGACATACGCTGCGACAATCTGGCTCAATGGTGTGTCCAAAATAAAAAGCATAATTGAACAATCCTAACAGCGGAGAAATGATAATCTTAACAGGAGATAAAAAAGTGGAGACATTAGTCAGTCTGAGAGCAGAATGAGGAAACCGTTACAAGTACCGTGCTATCAACTCAGGTCTGCCTTTTCTGATTTGATGACCATCCTACTACTCACTAAATCGGTATCTCAGCAACGCACCGAAGATACTACCTGCCATGATTATTGAGTCTAGAAAACTCTATTCACAGGTTAGTCAGGTAGTGGCTTACATTCTGATGACATCTCTTTTTGGAGGTTTTCCGACTCTCAGACCACCTAGTTGAGTGTGTACCACAACCTGCACCATGCCCAAAAGTCCGGAAGCCCTGGACCTATGTGACAAGCCTGCCCCTGAACAAAAACAAATCCTAAGCAGCGTACAGCAGCTAGAGAATATTCTCATAGGGGGGGGGGGGGGGGGGAACGTAGAATAAAGTAGAATAAAGTAGAATAAAGTAGAGTAGAATTCTACGTTGCCCCCCCCCCCCTCTCATAACAGGAGGGTTACCATCGACTTCTGAGTTCTGGAATCTGGACCAGCTCTGGTCAGTGGGCATAAGTTGGGTCTTATACCAACGTCGTGTCTTATTTTAGAGGGTTGTTGCTTTGCAGATGGCATACTGTGGCGAAGATATTATAGTATTATATCTCGGTCATATGAGAAACCAGAATTCTCATTTTTTTCAGGACAAATGTAATGCGATTGAATTATTTCGATTGGGCACTCAGTGACTGAGCTATTAGGACTTTTGCCCCCCTCCCCCCTGTATATTTATCCTTGCTTGGCGACACAAAATTACACCGAGACTGAAATATCAGACTGACTTATAAGTTGTTACCAGCAACTTTCGATTGAGGCGATATTAATTTGGGCCGGGGTTCAAAGCTTTACTGTACATACATCTTCAAGGGGAACAACTAGTCTTTCAGTTTTCGAATAGTTATTTAATTGCGTAACTGAAGGAAAGATCACTTTACCGTATGCACTTGAAAATTCACGTAACTTATAACTTAGGAACATATCGAAGTTCCGGTGTCGTGTAGAGTGATTTATATCTATTGTGTCAGAATAAAGCTGGCAGACGTGCCAGTACATTATACAAATTCTAAACACTATAATTACAGTTGAATAGAATGTATGATGTTCAGAGCTGCGTATAAGTGTCATCTTAGAATATATGCTATAATTCTGGTTTATTACAGTAGCTGGCATTTGCCGAAAAGATTACAGATTTCAGTAACACACTAACATGTAAATATGCCTGTTTAGAGAGATTTTCTCAAAACCCGTCTCAAATACCAAAGGCAAAACTATTAGTAGCACCATTAGCTTTAAACCCATCTGGGGATAGCACTAATTTATATAATATTATAATATCGAGCAGGAAGGCTCAAGGCGGGAGGGGTTATGTTGTTTTTGCTCACAACATCAGTTATCAGTATGATACGATTCTACGCCTATCGAGAACTGAGATATGGACAGTATGGCGGAGATTCTTGAAAAACCGCCAACTTTAACAAACTAAGGTTTAACTTATAATAGCTTTGCTCGGACATCAAAGCCGCACTAAGTCAAGTATCATTATGGAACCGGATTTAAAGCGAATAGAATCCCACATTTCGCCTTTTAAACAAACAAATAGCATTAATAAGAGCTATTGGTCGATGTTTGCTTCTTCTTAGTAAAATCCCTCACTTTCAAATAGTCCTTAAACCTTGGTGAGCTAAACAAAACACTAGGGACATTATGATGTACGCCTAATCTTCAACTCAAAAGTCACAGTAAACTATTGGGACCAGAATACAGTAGTTTATTTATCTGACCGTAAGGCGTAACACCAAAAGCGGTTCATCCCAGTTTATTGACTAAACCAATTTGTCCGTTTCGCAGTATAGTATAGTACTTTTACTTTCACACTCTCTCACACTCTTTGTTCACTAAATAAGTAAGATTATACGTCACGTACAGTACGTGATCACGTTATGATTGTTAAACCGAGACGATACGTCATAATCATATTAAAAGGAACTGCGGTGCGCGCGCTTAACGTACCTCGAAAAATGTTTGAGCGTGGGTCCTTTTTTTATCTAAAGGTGACATATTTGCTAGTTTTTTAGAAAATTAACCATAATTTGTCCCGTTAATCGTCACTACTTATTACTAAGAGGTGTCACGTCACTAAAAAATTTATTACAAATACACCAAAGGGCCCTGTATAGCTAGACACATTCCCTGACTCGTAATTACACTGACTGTTAACTATATCACGTGACATGCATTCAAACTCTCTTATTTAGACATGCCGTAAACATATTAAGCACCCACTGTATTAACCCAACATTCTCGGGCAGTATCGAGATAGCCCGACCACTGTCCGCGGACAACTGTCCGCGGTCAGTTGTCCGCAGACACCTGTCTACCAGATCATATTACTGTATAATAACAGTATCCCCTGAATCAAGCAGGGTTCACATCATCCCCTGAATCATTGAATCGAGCAGGGTTCACATCATCCCCTGAATCAAGCAGGGTTCACATCATCCCCTGAGTCAAGCAGGGTTCACATCATCGCACGCGAATTTCAATCAGCGGTGGTGTCAAGGCTTATTAAACGATTAAGCAACCTTACGAGATCAGTTCACATCATGCAATATATAAAGAATAACTATTATCAGACTGCATCAATCATTTCTATATCAACTCCTTCTTGAACAACTACAACTATGGTCTCAGAGAAAACGAAACGGATGAACTCAGCCCTACTCTGCGAACAGCAGTTGTATGAAGGTCTTGAGAGCGAGCTTCTGTCCAGAGAGGATGCTGTCTGTTCTGATATTCTTGTACTTCTTGCAGGGGGAGCAGCGCCATATCAGGCCATCTGGAGACTTCGAGGACGAGGAGGGAACCAGGGACATAGATGCATTACACCCAGAACAGGACATGGAGCTCTTGAGGAGGTTTTTCTGGAATAGGAAGTCTCGAGGGAGGCGGTGGGTCCATTAATTTCGTCCATTAGACAGAAGAGTACCATGTCAGGAATTGGAATAGTTGTTGTTGTTGTTGATGATGGCAACTGATAATACTTCACCAAAAACGAACGACTTATATACCACATTTTAATCGTAATCATTTATTTCATTGAGCAATCAATATTATTAGTAACTAATTATATCCGAGAGACCACATTTGAATCTATTTTGAACTATTCACAAACACCTGTTTGCTTGATTCAGGGGATACTGTTATTATACAGTCTGCAGACAACTGTCCGCGGACAGTGGTCGGGCTATCTCGATACTGCCCATTCTCGGAAGTTTTAAACATTTGTGGTTAGGTACTATAATGTTCAAAACGCCCCAGTTTGAAAACTTAATTACTTAGCTGCCCTATCGGTATTCCTTGGTCTACATTATTGTACTAGATTGGATAAATATTACAATTAAAATGACCTTCGGGACGTTATAATATCTCGTAATACCCCTGGTTTCTCACCATGATAACGCCAACCAACAAAATATCAATTTTTCTATTGTTCACCAACCTTCGTTTTGGAGAGTTAAGAACACGCTCCTTGCATCTTCTGAAGTTGTGGTGTTGTGCCCTGCGGAATGGGATTATGATAACAACACAAAATTAGGAATATTTTGGAGTGTATCGTATCAGCACATTAATGTAAACTTAAATTTTTTAGAATTGCAGTAATTGTATACATCTGTTGTTATTACACATTTATTTGATAAATATATTATATAGCCAGATTTCTCTGCTTTAACATTTAGAAAGAACTAGAGCATATGTGACACTTTCTGTAATGTTGCATCAGTTGATGAGAATCTCGCAAAATCCTGTTAATAGCAGGATTTCTTTAATTAATATCCCGGGAAAGCTAGACATAGTACCACTGGTGTCCTTACTTGAGAATGAAGCAGAAGAGTGTCCCAGGGTGATAATCTTCGAAAACTCGTTGGTTGACTGCGGATATAGATATTTAGAATTCATGCAGGTAAAAATGGTTATTTGCCAGCATATATACAATTAATATGATTGATTGTGCACATACTTAAATAATTCATTTTATGGCCACATGTTTAGCTTATATGGGATATAAAATATTGAAGACTGACATAACCATTTAACTTGTTCATACTTAAACTTGTTAAACTGTTGTTTAACAAGAATTGCGCCCGTTTGTTCGACTGTTGGCGGACGCTAGATTTCCATCCACTTGTACCAAATGTCAAAATTTTATCATACCTTGGCCTTCAATTAATTGTTTTGTTTCTGGTGTCACGTGAATTGGCTTAAAGTTAATTGACTAACTGTATGGTTACAGAAACCCAAATAAAAGACAATCACAATGAAAGTATGATGTATGAAGTAGAGTTGACCGGACCAGCTTGATATAATTGTTAATTAGCTCAAGTTAGGAGTTGCCGCTAGTTTACTGATGTCTGTCGATGTTAGGGGATCAAAATATCTGTGCATCGAAGAAAATATGAATAAATAAAGTGAATGTTGTCCAGTCACAGCGCGCGTGGAGGTAACTTAATTAATTTTACGGATAAGCCGCGCGGCTGTATTCTCAAATATCGCGTGTAGATTTGAATGTTGTCCCTCCGCAAACGTTAAGATCAAAGTTGCCATAACAACGCGCAACTCTGTGCCAGAGAAAATTAATACACGATATAATCTAGGTTGCGGTGAAATAGAAATGGATAAATAAGGAAGAGAACATATTATTATCATGTTGTGCTTAGAACTGGTCCCTCTCTTCCACTTTCAAATTAGCGGTTATACAAGGTTGAATAATGTTTTATAGTCATACTTCAATGATACCAATTATTGGAATTCAAATCTCACTGTTCAGTATGTTAATTAGTTCAGTATGAATTATGATGGAGTGTTAATAACATTGTCTTGCTAGGTTAGAGTAAAGTAGAAGATTTGTAGATCTGTGAAGAAGGAAGTAATATCACTCAATCAGCAGCCGATGGTGTGCGTTATATTTCCAATTGGTGCTGACAAAATTGTGTTCACAGCTGCTCTGAAATCAGTTGATTATTCAATTAGTTGGTCATGTGATCGACAGATTATGTCACTAATGTAGGTTCAAAAAGGTATATTATATTACTTCGGATCATAGGGTGACAGTCTTGTCGAGTAATGTTGAATTTACGAACCATTTCATGAATTGTGATGTGATAAAGTTAACTGTCAAGGAGGGCTGATTCGAGGACGGCATTTGTTTCTATAAGTGAGCCTTTGGCATGCAAGGAACTGTCGACAGTTGTGAATGTGAAAACTGGAAAAGAGCAAGTAACTGATCTGAAAAGGAAATAAGTTGTGATTGTGTCGTGCGTAATATTACAGATACATTAAATCAGAAGTGTTGAAGCAATCCGGAATGAAAACTGGAGAAAACTTAGCATAATGCACATAATAATTGTATTATTATATGAAAAAGTATAAAAACACCTTCCCTTTTATGTAGATGTGGAGAATGAGGTGAGGTAATTAGCCTGAGAACAGTTGATGATGAGGTACAATAACCACACGCAGTTAACCACTCTTCTCAGTTTCCGTTAGCACGTGACAATCCCACGGGTAAATTGCTCGGACGAACCTCTTTGCTAACATATGATAATGCATCCAATCTTATCTGATAACTGAGGTATTACAGGGGTTTAAAGATATATAATGAGATAATAACGTGACATTTATGACATATTGAAAAGTATAAGGTAACAAAAGTATATCGATTAAATAGTTGCAGAAAAACAAATGTAAAGTTAGAGTGCAAGTTAAATGGAAAATGTAGTATGTGCATGTCATTTATTGCTTATGTGATAATAGAAATTGGTTAATTGTGGAGAGCATAAATTAAAGTAGATATAATTATATAAGATAATGTTGGTTAAATTGTAGAATAGTAGTAATATGTAATGTTATAATTGTTGTTATAGCTTGTGTCTTAAACTTCAGTGTCCTGTTGTACGTCTAACTTCCTGAAAAACGAATAATGTTAGGAGGAACTATGGTGCAATGAAATATTACTACTGATTTTTTTTGGCAATTTTAACCATAACGGTGAATAAGTAATTGAAACTAATTAGTATTATCAATGTGAAGCATTATTATAGGCGACAAAAAAGATGATTGCTTTAAAAACGCGACTGTATTACCTGTGTAATCAGAACCTCGAGTGTAAGAATGTAAGGCTGACTACACTGTTCACACCGCAAGAAGTCACGTTACAACAGCACTGGTATGGTGTTGTGAAAGTTCTAGGATAGGAATGGGGTGAGTGGTGTTCGTGATTGTTAGAAATTATTGGTGACAGTAAATAAGAATTAGAGTGTAAGATTATTTATAAGTGCAAGGGCTAACATTCACAATGCCGAGGGTGAAATTACAGTTCATGAGATGGGGAATGCGCAGAGCCAATTTCTAAAATAACAGTATACCAATGAACGCCATGACCATCGTCTGTATTAACTATAAATAAGGTTGGGGGAAGGACCTGTGCGTTAGACTTAAACTTATCCCAAAGGTGTATGATGCGGGCTTTAAACGTAGACTTACTATGGGGAGGTTCTACATTGGAAAGATAATCATTTCTATGTATAAATAATAAATTATGAAAATGGAGCGAGTAAATAGGAATAAGATCAAGGCAATTAGTTTCTGATAGGAATACGGGACTTGTGCCGGAAATGTTAAGAGCATGATTACCTAGTGCACATATGTCTGTTTCAAAATCCGAGGCTCCCCAATAGTTACAGTCGAATAGTGATGCGTTAAACCATGACTGGCCTGTCGAAAGGAAGGACTTCAGTTTAGAAATGACTCTAGAGGCGATGTAACCACAACTGGAATTAACCTGGATATTAGCAAAGGAGGCATTGACTGAGAATCCCAAAGATTGTAATAATGTTGCAGTTTCTGCCGATTGAGGATGACCCAAAAAATCAATGACATGAGCCCTGCCAACAGTTTCAGAGATAACTTGTGGATAACTGGTAGGAATTTGCATAACCGGATTGTTGACCACATCTGCATTGCATAAAGGAGAAAGAGACTTTGTCGTTTTGAGATGTTTACTTAGAAGTGGACTTGCTGGAACTTGAGGAGAGTTTGGTAAAGGACGTTTGAGACCAGTAGAAGGCTGTGGAGACATCATAGAGAGCGGAGAATATAATGAGGTAGACTTGAAATGTTTCTTCGTAAGATCCGCTAATGGAGAAAAAGGAATGTGGCGTTTTAATACAGCAGGCGAGGTGATGATGGTCTTGTGCGGAGAAGATGAAACATTAAATGGTTTACTGCAGGGAAGAGTGATGGGATCAGATGGTATGGGACTCATTATTAAAACTTCTTCACAAGTAGCTGCAGGAACATTATGACCTTGGAGGACAACACAAAATTTAGGAACATCACGTAGTCGAGCATACTCATCTACAACTTTCTTAGATGTGCGAATTTGCCTGGGGTCAAAAGATATGAAGTGCAGACCAAGGAGAGATGTTAACCTAGAGATAGCAGTGTATGCCATGCCTGACTGCCATGAGTGACCTTTTGATGCTCCAGCGAGGAATACATATGCTTTGTTCAAAGTCAAACCCTGAACTTTGTGAACAGTGCAGGCCCAAGAGAGAACCAATGGAATTTGATAGCGTTTGAGCCACGTTTTACTATTCTTTTTGGAGATAAATTCCTTTTCCACGGGCTTTATTGGAACAGTGCCAACCTTGGTGCAATTGTTAGCGCAGAAATTGTCACAATGATGTTTTATGGTTCTGCCGACGTTAACATCATCGAACATAACATTAACGTGCCGAATGTCTCTAGCACTGCATGAACCGTCCTTGACAGTTTTGCCATTTTGGAGTTGGAAACTGTGGACAGTCCCAGTCACACCGTTTACAATTTTGTCAGGGGTGTCGATATTAACACGCACCATGACCCTAGCTCCTGGACCAATATTTAATGAAGTTGGTAACCCAGCAGTTTTGTTCACATCGTCAGTCGTGTAATCTTGGGGTTTCTTGTTCATTTTGTCATAAACTTTGTCGCCAAAATTGGAAGATTTGTTGAAAACTTCATTGGAGAATCTGTCTTGAGCAACAACGTTAACTATTGAAGAGGTTTTGCTCAATTCTTGAATGCACTCCTGATTGTGACTGTTGCACTGCCTATTGGTTGGATAAATGACCATTGAGTCCATGATTTCAGCAGGTTTAGGCTGCTTTTCCACAACCCTTGAACTCAGTAACTCAATATCCTCTGGGGTGTGCTCTCCTACCCTAAGCCTGTGACAGAGTTCCGTGAACTGACTGTCACCCTTTGCTCTAACTATGTCCGTTAGCTCAGAAAATGTAATTGAATCCTTCCAAATGTTAGGCCCAAGAGCAGCGATACCTTTAGTCTCAAACACCATAGTTTGTTGAACCGCAGGAATCTGATGAAGGTCACCACTGAAGATAACGTTGATTCCCCCAAAGATTGTGGTTTCAGGAGGAACCCCAAATATTTCATTCAACCGTGAATTGATCTGGTTGAGGTTTGTGTTACCCACCATGGACACTTCATCTATAATGATATACCTTACATGCTGAAAGAACCTCCTCATCTGCATCTTCTTTTTTGGATTAAGTGGTTTAGGTTGGATTCTTCCGCCCTCTTGACAATCTAACTGAAGGAGTTGGTGAACAGTTTGACCGTCAATGAGAGCTGCAGCAACACCAGTGCTAGCTGCAACAGCAACTTTTGGTTTAATAATACTGTCTGGGAACTTGCGTGAGATGCAGGAGCGCATACATTTTATGAGGAAACTTTTACCTACTCCGCCAGCACCACTAACAAAATGAAGAAGCTGATTGACCTTGTGACCCTGTGCAACCCGGGAAGAGTGATGATCTACAATGTTGAAGAGTTCGCGCTGTTTATCATTGAGGCTGGTGACCATTTGCTGGTACTGTTCATCAGAGACAATGGGCTCCTTATAAGTGACGTTGAACACAGACTTCTCTTCCTCCTTCGATATATCAATACCTTCAAAGGGATGATTGAAGAGATGCCTACCATCAAGAACTTCCCTTTTATTTTCATCAAGAAGTGAATCTTTGATCTCTTGTCTTATTTCAGCTTCCATTTTTTGCAGAGTGTCGTCGTCAAATTGTTCAAACTTTTTGATGTTGGGTTTCATGGCATCAACATTCTCAGCAAATGACTCTTGATAAGTGGCAAAGGAGCCAATAAGATCAGCTTCCTTTCTCCACGGAAAGTACAAACACAGTTTCGAATAGTAATACTTTTCAGGCTCCTTTGTGCGAGACTTTTTATTACTTCTGATAACTTGAGGCGAGTCTCGCCTTATCATCTGGCCAAGATTAGATTTAAGAGTAATTACTTTGTGTCTGTTTTTAGAAGTTACGTTTCTGTCTAACCGAACGTATAAGGAAGCAAATTCAGCCCAGCAGATCGACTCTAAATCATCAGGACGATTGAGGTATTTGTCAAGAAGCGAGTTATGGAACACATCTTCTGAATCATCTGGCAGCTGTTGTAGGGTAGAACGAGGTTTGACAATGCCATGTCTATCCCCTGGCATGTCAGAAGGAATGAAAAGAACCGAAGGTTTGAAATGGGAGAGACTCAACTGGGGCAGACATCGAAAAATAGCTTCTTGGACGGAGACGGACCTAGAATTTAAAAAAGTATTACCAAGCTGTCTAAGGGCTTCTTTAGAGTTCTTATTGCTCGGCTGATCAATATTTTTAATAACATCTTTCAAAGCGTCACAAACCTCTTTTTCATTTTTGGTGGCATACGAAATAACGTAATTAACAACATCCCACGGACTCATACAAATTTGAACATCCATGTTCCCTTGTATAGCAAGGAGTAGAAGACGATTGTATGTATTTACATTTTCGCTGCCAGGTTTACGTTTGTAGATGACATCTCTAGATCGCAGTTTAGGAGCCTCAACTTTGGGTTCACTGTCAGCAGACTTTTGGTTGTTTTTTGACTTTTTTGTCATCATTTTCTTGATTTCCTTAAAGACAATTTGTGTAACCTCAGAAAGTGTTTTGGGAAATCCGAAACGGCATATGTCTTTACCACCTTTCTGACATGTTTTTGTATGGGAGTGCAGCTGAAGCTTGATAAGTTTGTGAACCTCGGGATCTTCTTCAAGGGTTGGATAATGAGTTGTAACATACTTATCAATAAATTCTATTACTTCCTCGATGGGACTCTCACCTGGTATAGGAGCACCTACTACTTTGAGAAGCATGTGAAGGTGAGGGGATCCACGGCCCCCAAACTCATTTCTACCAAAATGAGCCAAAGCCTCCCCCATGACACCCTGATCCTCAATCAGATAAGATAGAATTTTGCGGACGTAGCGGTCGAACATGCGCACAGCAATGACAGGGTCCATTTTAATTAGCTCGTGCTTCCTAAACCAGCTTATGTCACTTAATAATTCATCCGTAGGTTCCTGACCCATTAATTTCAGAATAGCCGGAACTGAGTAGACCAAGTCGTTAAAGGAGAATGTTAAGAACCAAGTAAAATTACCTAGCTGATTCACCATAGCTATACCATCGTTCTTGATCTTCTGTAAGTAAGCTGGAGTACCCTTCATATTTTTCATAAATTTATAAGCATCAATGTTACTTTGAAGCTGATCCATGTTGCACTGGTAAGATCTGAGGAGCCCTGCGGTAATGATTTGACCGTCCATAGTTCTAGAACCTTTGCGCATGTGAGTAGCAATGCAACTAAGTAGCTGATCACGTTCAATCCAGTTCTGCATGTAAAATATATACTCGGGGTTTTGAGCGTACTTTCTATGCTTAGAGTATAATTTGCTTTCAGCGTAATCTTTTAAGGAGAGTTTAGGGAGAAGTTTTTTCTTAATGAGATCATTTCTTTTGCTGCAGTTGAAGTGACCCTTACCCAGAGGAAATAGATCAGGAAATGACAAGGCTTCGTAGTCGGCATTACCAAGGAAAGGAACAGGTTTACTACCCTGGCCAGGTGCAAAGTCCATGAAAGGTATTTTACCGTCATCAATGTTCTCAGCTGGATCAGATTTTTGGATGCAAGACTCAAAAGGCATATCACAGTACGTACCCTCGTTAGTGACATTTGATAAAATAAGATCTAATATTGACATAGAAACAACAACAGGGTCATCATTCATGTACGAGTCAAAGAACTGCTTATCACCATCGTAATTTTGTTTAATGAAATCATGGGAAAGTACAACATTCTTATAAAAAGGATTGTTTTTCTTAAGCCATACTAATAATGTTATACATTTATCAGGATTAACAACATCAGACATTACAACAGACTTGTACTCAACCTTACGTTTTATACGGACAGCTAAAATACCAGACTCAGAAAGTTTACGAGGGAGCTGCATGCAATTTCTGTCAGGTTGGATGGGGACATTTACAACAGGGCCTTTAATACAACTTTGACCACCAGCAGGAAGGGATAAAATTTTCATAAATGGAATGATTTGGGATACTAAGCGGCATTCGGTGGGGTTTGGCTGAAGGGAGGATGGGAGATCACCTGATGCCAGGAACATTTCATTTACATCTATAGGGGAGAACTTGCCACGCTTTAAATAACTATTGCAACGTTTACAAATCCATTCATTATCTGCTTTAGTAACCGAAGGAATATTGAGCTTAAACTTAAGAGTATCCTTTGCCTTAACAACACCTTCACGGAAGAAAAGCTTGTGACATTTAAAACACGCATATTCTGGGTACTCTCGCATTTTAGCACGGAAAGTCTTCACAATTTTGTCAGTCTTTGGATCAAATGAGGGTTTTGTAGGTGATTTAGAGTGATGCTCAAGGGGTACTGGAGAAGCCTTTGAAGCATTGGGTGGCACCACGGGCTGGTCCTCAACAGAAAAGTTATGCAGGCTAGAAGATTCTATGCGGGGTGACTGGCAAGCAGATGGTTCCGATGAAGCAGTAAAATGTTTATTTGGAGAGACAGTTTGGAGATGAGAAAATGGGCAGTTCTCCATAAAACCTGGGCAGAAGGTGCATTTATTAACGCAGTTAAGTTCAATTTCAGCTAATAATTTGGAGCCATGAGGAAAAGAAACAAAATCCCAATCCAAAGTAGAAATAGGCCTCTGTGGTACCTCGGGCTGGTCCTCAACAAAAAAGTTATGCAGGCTAGAATATTCCATGGGGGGTGATTGGCAGGCTGATGATTCCGATGAAGTAGTAAAATGTTGATTTAGGGAGACACTTTGGAGATGAGAAAATGGGCAGTTCTCCATAAAACCTGGGCAGAAGGTGCATTTATCAACGCATGTAAGTTCAATTTCAGCTAATAATTTGGAGCCATGAGGAAAACAAACAAAGTCCCAATCCAAAGTAGGAATAAGCCTCGTTGGTACTGGAGAATTATGCGAATCAGTTTTTGATTTAAGAGCTGTGTAGTTTGGAGGTGTTTGGCATGAAAAGGTATTAGAAGATGAAGGTGAACCTAAACAGGATTTAGCAGCACAGGTTATATTAATATTAGTCTCAGTAGATACCTGTGCCCGATAAGATGACGGTGAGTCATGCGGTGGAGTAGAGTGTAGTTTTGGTAGAGATTGAGAAGAAGTTCTGTATTCATTTAAAGGAGATGCAAGTTTATTATTTCTATTAACACTAACTGTATGAAATGATATGTCGTGGGGTGAATAAGCAGTTTTAAGTGATGTAGCTGGAGACCGTGAATGATTGTGATTAAAAAGTGCAGAGTAGGTTGGTGGAGTTTTGTAACCGCTCATATTGGATGGGCTATGTTGACGAAGGAGAACAGGAGAGCAAATTTTCTGAGATTTACTGTTCCTAGCTTTATTGAGAGAAATACGAGTGCGTCGCTTTTCTTTGGCCATTTTCTTTTGTTCATCTGTCATTGCTGCGCGCCTGGCCTTTTCCTTTAAACGCTTTTGCTCTTTTTTTGCATTGCGTTCAGGGGTTGTCATAGATGCCATAGTTGACGACTTTCGAGATCGTTCTTTTTGTTGAAGTTTTGTGAGCTCTGTGGTGGTCATAGAGTTCCGAGCTTGAGACATTTGAGATCGTTGTTTTTGTTGGAGTTGTGTGAGCTCTGTGGTGGTCATAGTTGCTCGCTTTTGAGACTTTCGATGACAATCATACTGAAGATGTTGTGAACGCTGTGGGCTTGTCATAAAAGCACGATGCTGCTGCATTCGAATACGAGCAGAATATCGATCTTTATCTTTTTGAAGCTCTTTATCAGCCATATTAGAAAGAGTGTCACATTTCATAGAGGAATCCGTTTCCTTCTTCTTTTTAACAGTTGAAGCATAAGAGTCATTTTCGGTATATGGGGTCAAAAGAGTGGGACTTTCTACAGAGCTACCATTGTGACAGTCATAATATGGTCTATACTCCTGTGATTCGTGCAATTCAGTGTCATCAATGAAATTGTCCATATCATCTGGCGAAGCTGTACAATTATGGGAGTTGTCAGACTCTTGGGATACATGACCTTCTTCATCTTGAGCTTCATTGTCGATGAAAGGATTGTTATGTCGACCGCCACCATACATTAGTGAACGAGATTGTATAGTGGTGTTACTAACGTTGTAGGAAATAGATGGTGCATATACAGAAGATGATGAGGACACCCCGGTCCCCTCAGTCATATCA